ATATTATGATATATTATAAATATTATATATTATGGATATTATATATTATGGATATTATGATATATTATGGATATTATGATATATTATGGATATTATTATATATTATGGATATTATTATATATTATGGATATTATTGTCTTAAGAACATTTTTGCTTATGAATAATGAATTTTTACAATAAGTGTTTTTTCCTTTTTAATAATTTTAATTAGAATAATTTATAAACTTTCAAAATTTTTTAAAATTCAGTATTATATTGTAGCCGTCAAGTAATATTGTTATTAAATAAAAAGAAATATTTACTAATCATAAATGTAAAAGCTTACTTCTATTCAGCGACCCCCGTATTTTAGAAAGAATTTTTAATATTTTGTGCGTGTGTGTAGATGTGTCCCTTCCTGTTACCTCTTAAAACTAGGAAGAGACATTTGACATTTCTAGTAAAGAGGGCTTGGAAAGTTTGATACTCACAAGGCAAATTGAAGGCCTGAGAGACAGAGGAAAATAAATCACAGCCTATCTATCTTGAGTAAATGGATGGCGGAACAAGTTATAGGAGAGATGACAAAAAGACAAAATTTATTAAGAGCTAAAATTGACAGGAAATTGTGGAGAGCTATGATCGTCACCGGGACACAACATATAGAGGAAAAAGAAGTATAAATTCGCCGATTTTTGTAAATATGGACGCCCATATGTGTATTATTAGAAAATAAGTGTAGTAAATATAGTAAATTTAAAATTTATTGGCAATTTTCTAATATCTATTTAACAAGCGTCTTTGTAAGTAAGATTATAAAGTCAAAGTGCATGAAATACAATAATATATTAAAATGTTTAAAATATTTAAAATTTTTAAGATTACTCGATAATTAAAATATCTAAAAAAATGGCTTTTACGTTGTATTCGTCATAAAATTTTGCTGAAATTATTTTCCGTTGTGTAAATCTCGCAAATATCGGGATATAGATAAATTTGTCAACACCTCATACAGAAACACACCTACCTGTTAAAAAAGATTTTCTGCTATATTTTCAACCAAAATTAAGTAATATTTATTTTAATTCAGATTAATCAAACTTTAAATCAGTTAATTTCCCTGATATAAAGTTCCATAAAAGTATATTTTCTTTTTTAATTATTTTTTAAAGAGAATTATGTTGTGTTGACAGATTTGTCAATATGGTCAACTTTAACGATTTAAAAAAAATTCCAATTAATTTAAATTCGTTTTGTAACAATTCAAAGCATTTTGTTTATTGGAAATATTAAATTTAATCTTTTAACATAGAATTAAGACTAAAATAAAACCTTCAAGAAAGATTTTTTCAGTTTTAAAACGCAATTTATACCTTAGGTAACATTTTTTTTTATTGTGGGAAGAGGTCCCCTAATTAAAAAAATAAAATTGTCTGTAGATGTAGGTTGCTGTTCCTCGGATTAAAATATGGCAATACATAAAGATATAAAATACGTAATGATATAAAATTTAAGCAACTATTTCTCTCTGACTCTGTAAATAACACACTCAATGATACGATCACGTAGGGATTATGCTAACATCGAAAAAATTAGGGAGTTTTAAAAATTTTTTTAAATCAGTTAATCTCCCTGACATAAAGTTCCATAAAAGTATATTTTATCTTTTAATTATTTTTTAAAGAGAATTATGCTGCATTGACAGATTTGTCAATATGTTCGACTTTAACGATTTAAAAAAAAAACAAAAAAAACTCCAATTAATTTAAATTCGTTTTGTAACAATTCAAATCATTTTGTTTATTGGAGATATTAAATTTAATTTATATTTTGTTTATTGAAAATATTAAATTTAATTTATAACTTAGGTAACATTTTTTTTTTTGTGGGAAGAGGTCCCTAATTAAATGCAAAAATATTTGTCTGTTGATGTAGCTTGCTATTACTCGGAATAAAATATGGAAATGCGTAAAGATATAAAATACGTAATGATATAAAATTTAAGTAACTATCTCCCTATGACCCTATAAATAACGCATTCAATGATACGACTTACGGAGGGAGTACGCTAGCATCGAAAAAAATTAGGGAGTTTCCTAGATGGTGAATTTGGTGTGCTGCTTGAGAATAAAAAATGTTCTTTAAATATGGGAATATGTAGAGATTCTAGTGAGGATTTTTGTATATCTAGTTATTGTAATTTTTGGAATACGGATGCCGAAGACAATGAAGGTTTAGTCTATTCTGCTGTACACAGTTGTTCGATCAGGAACAGGATCAAAATACGTAAAATGATGAAATCGTGCATGGCACACCGATGTGGGGGGGTGTTATGCGGAGGGGATTTTCAGGAATTATACTTGGATACTAACTTTTTTCGGTAACGTATGATCGAATTTTAGAAAACGTTTCTTGGTGTATAACGTGCACGCTACATTTGCAGAAAAAAAATTAACAAAATATATTTGGTAGAATTTGTGAGCGTATTTTCAGTGTATAGCGCGCAGAGTATTTTTAAGAATGAAATTTGAGAACAAAAGCTCCTAAACGTTACAGGTTTGAATTTTAATGTTTATAAATTTCAATTACTTATAAGTTCAATGGTAGTTACTAGTGCGATGGTCTTCATATCATGTACTAAATAATTCACTACTAATTTTGGTAAGAACACTCACATGATTTCAGTGAGTCTAATTTCAGTGTATTTTTAAGAATGAATTTGAACACAAATGCTATTGTTAGAATTTTAATCTTCATGACAAATTTTAATTACTTATAAGTTCAATAGTATTTGACTAAGTCAGTTATTGTTGCGATGGTCTGCATAGCAAGAATTTTTTTATGAAATGCGTTTTCTAATCCCTTACTGAACCAGTTTTGAGTTCAGAATTGTCCTTCTTCCAAACTGGTTACCAACCAAGGCTGAAGACCCCAATTCTATTATTAACATCTTGTGTGTGTGTGTGTGTGTGTGTGTGTGTGAGAGAGAGAGAGAGAGAGAGAGAGAGAGAAGGTGGCTTCTTCTTTTTCCAATTATTTTTTTTGTGAGAAAGTAAATGCATCGGTTTCAGCATGAAATTTGAACTCGTCAAGCCAATCCCATTTTCTGCGTTGATAACCATTACGCTATAGACTATACAGAAACAAACAGTAAATGGGAATAAAAAGCTTTGATAATCTTTTTTGGTCGGATTAAAAGAAGACCTGACTGAAAGACTTGTACCTGTAATCAATAAAGAAGAAGAAGAAGAAAAAAAAAAAGAAGACCTATGGTATGAAAACGTGCCTCTTAAAAGTGGCAAACGTATAGGCGCCCAGTCCAGAGTCACAACACGATAATAGACTGACAAAGAAGAATTGGGAACATCACGGGAAGTCAGTGATAAAAAGACAGTAAAATAATACCGGAGTGTAATTCCGTTGTGGTAAGATAACAATTATGTGCCGTGCATGATACATGACTGACCAGGCAGATTTTTTTCCCGCAGTAGGTTGCCATTTCTTTCTGCGGTAGACTTGTTGCCATCCAAGATTATAAAACCCGGTTTGTCCTGCTATTAACCTATAGCTTAAGAAGAAGAAGAGGATTCATATCTTTCCCAAGAGTATTAGCACGTAAGTGATACACGCTTAGGCGATCATGTATCTTTCGATGCATGACTGACGAGGCAGTTATTTTCCTCGTAGTAGGTTACAATTTTTTTTTTTTTTTGCGTTAGACCATTTGCTATCCAATGGTGTAGAACCTGGTCTGTCCTGCTATTTACCCATAGCTGGGGGGAAATGAAGAGTATTTGCGCAGAAGTGAATATCAGTCAGTTATGCGTCATGCGTGATACACGCTTAGGCGATCATGTATCTTTCGAGACATGACTGACGAGGCAGATTTTTCCAAGCAGTAGGTTGCCATTTCTTTTTTTTTTTTGCGGTAAACCATTTGCCATCCAAGGCTGTAGTACCCGGTTTGTCTTGCTATTTAACCATAGGTGGAGGCAGAAGAAATGGACTCATACCTTTCCCAAGGGTATTAGCACGTAAATGAATCTAATGGATTCGACTGAAATTCGAACTCGGCTCTCCTATTCCTCAATCCGAGCTGCTATCCATTACACCACCGTAACATTGCTTGTTGATAATGGAGAACGAGACGAATGCCGGATAGAAAGAAAGAGTGGAAGTATTGAGGTAAAGACAAGCGTGGAAAAGAAGGACAAAGAAAGGGAAAGAGAAAAACAAAGGGAAAAGAAAGACAGAAAAGAATGAGTGAGTGATGAAAGAGACAGAGAGAAAAGGGATACAGGAAGGAGAATAACAGATAAAAAAGAGAGAGGGGGGAAGAAGAGAAATGGGAAAAGGTTTGGTTTGTTTTGTTTTACGGCATATCAACCTAAGTGGGTTATTTAATGCCGACAAAAATTTTTATTGCTGGTAATATTTTGTTTTGTCAAAATCTGTTTCTGGTAATATATTTCCTTCAAAATCGTATTACTGGTAATAATTTTTTTAAAAAGTATTGCTGGTAATAGTTAACTATTTACCCATAGCTGGGACCCTAACAGGTGCTACCACCCCGAGTCAGGGTGAACCTGGGAACACCAGCAATTAAGATGTGGTTCTACGCTCCTCAAAGCCTCCTGATCAGAAGCCTTGCTGCTGGACGTAGTTTAACGTCATACCCAGGACGAAAAATAGGAGAAGGAACAAAGTAAACAAAATTGAAAGGTAAAAGAATAAAGTTGTTGTTTTTGTTTAGCGGCATATCAACACCTCTATGGGTTATTTACTGCCGAAATCTAGATATTTTGTACGCAATATTATTTATTTATTTATTGGAGATAATAGTTTTAGTGGTACAAGTTTTACTAATTAACCCATATTTGGGAGAAAATGGGTGTATTCATATTTTTTTCTCCAAGGGTATTTGCGCGTAAGTGAATATAACGAAACCTACAGGAATTGGGACACGGCTCTCCGGCTAACAATTCCGAGCCTGTCTCCATTACACCACCCTCACATCCAAGCTTACAGCACCTGGTATTCAGGAACGGTCACCCATCTAAGTACTGAACAGGCTCGACGTTGCCTTAACTTCGGTGATCGCACGGGAAAGGCAAGAAAATAAAGAAAGTCAAAAGAGAGTGAGAATGAGTAAAGAAAGAAAGAAAGAAAGAAAGAAAATAGATGCTGTGAAAAAGAGAGGTTAGAAAGATAGGCATGGAAAATAGAGACAAGCGAAAAAGAAAATTTAAAAGTAAAATACGGAGTGGGGTGAAGAAAAAGAGCGAGAGAGAAGGAAAAGAGAGAGAGAGAGAGAGAGAGAGAGAGAAGAAATAGAAACCGCAAAGAACTGTTACGTGATATCTGTCCTCCTGTATGGAGGACAGATATCACGTAACAGATGGGCAATCTCCTCAAAGATGAAGAAGAGACATAAAGCAATAGAAATGTGGTTCTACAGGAGGATGCTGAGAATACCATGGATCTAACGACGATGTTTTAGATAAAATAGAAACAAAAAAAGAAACTTATACTTAACATCTGGAAGAAGCAGTTTAAATTTCTGGGGCAATGGGGAAGGAAGGCTTGGAAAATCTGATACTCACAGGACAGATTGAGGGCAAGAGGAAAACATAACATACTTAATGTGGTTAAGTAAATGAATGGCGGAACAGGATTTAGGAGAAATAACGAAAAGACAAAATTTATTAAGAGCTACAAGGGACAGGAAGTTGTGGAGGGCCATGAGAGGACATGGCACATAAATCAGAAGAAAGAGTGATGGCGGAAAGACGGGGTGGGGGTTAGTGACAAGAAAAAGAAAAGTGAAAAGTGAAAAGCAAGGAAATGAGGAAAGCGAGAACGAGAAAGACGAGAGACAAAGAGAGACAAGGAAAATAGAAATTGCAGAGAGAAACAGGGGAAAGACAGGCAGAGTAAACAAAGGCAGGAGAAAAAGAAATGAAAAAGCATAGGAATAAGGTGAGAGAGAGAGAGAGAGAGAGAGAAAAGAAAGAGTGAGATAAATAAAGAAAAAAGGAAGACTAGGGAAATAGATAGTGTAAAGAGAGACAGAAGAAAGACAGCTTAAGGGGAGATGAAGAAAGAAAGACGTGGAAAAAAACATGTTGTAAAGAGAGATGGAAGCGTACAAACTCAAGAAAGAGAAAAGTGAGAATGGAAAAAGATTGTAGGCCTCCGTCGTCAGGGTTGACCATGAGTATCATCCTAGTTGCCTACTTGGCTGGAGCATCGAGGTCTGTGCCTGTAGATGCCGATGCGGGAGTGACAATCTCTGTTGCAAAGGTCGCATGTGTATTCTGTCCCTGGTCTATTGGAGATGTCACTTTGCTTTCTGCGGGGGGCCGCCTTTCCGTGGCGACTTGTGTCAGTTTCTCCTCCCCTGACTTAAGGTGTTTGGTCAGGGTTTCTCTCCATTCGGATCGTATGGCTGCCAGGCTCTCCCAGGACTTTATGTTGGTGTTCACAACTTCCATGTCGTGTCTCGCGGTACCGAAGCTGTGGCCGCATGACAGGTCTCCTTCTAGCAGGCAGATCTCCATACAGGAAAGCTGGTCGCTGGAAGGAGTCTTTGGGGATGCGGCCGTCTAGCATGCGATGGACGTGGCCCAACCAACGGAGTCTGTGCTGAGCAGTGTGAATATGCTGGGCAAATCTGCTCGAGACAGGACCTCAGTGTCGGGCACCTTATCTTGCCACGCTCTTCCCAGGATACGGCGGATGCTTCTCGTGAAAAAAAAAAGACAAAGAAAATATGTTCGAAAGACAGACAGAGGAAAGGGTTAAAATTTTCCCCGGTCGCTTGTGTGTTTGTGCTCGACAATGTGAATGGAATGAACAAAAAAAAAAAAAGCTTTAAAATAACTGTTCAACAGCTTTTATTTCTGGTCGAAAAGTGAGCTCAAAATAGTAGTAATTTGCGGGGGGAAAAGAGAAGTTTTCCCACTTAACAATTTTTTACTGAATGTAATAATTATTTGTAGAGAGAGATTTTTCCGCTGTTCCTACGGAAGAACGGGAAATCCAAGTGTGGAACTGTTAAGACAGGCCTCGTTGTTGCAGCAAAGATCGAGTGTAGTCTCCTTTGGAGAATGTTTCGAAGGGAGCTATCTCAAACGGTTCCTGCGAGAGAAACGAGAAATCTAACCTCAAGACAGGCCTCGTCTTCTGCAGCAAGGGTTGCGTGTAGAGACGGCTGAAGGTGAAAAATGAAAAGAGATCTGGCCGAGATAGCGACCGTTGAAATAAAAAAAAAATGAAAAAGAATGCAAATAGGACCCAATCAAGGCTTTTATAACTTCAAGAGCATCCGGTTGTACCCTGATGATTATTTCCGCTTCTGCTAATGAATCGAGCAAAGTAAGGAAGCCCCCACATGCCACAATATCCAACAAGTGAGATCAGATAAAAAATGACGAAGGAAATAGATATTGGGAATGGCAAAGATGAGAAATAA